TAGTAGAAACCTGAAAAAGGAACACAGACTCTTGATCAGGACCAAGTGAAATGTCGTGTATGGCTTGGGAGTAAGAAACACAAGGTCACAAAAGCACAACAGCAAGAGATGGCTGCGGTAGAGAGGGGACTGTGCCGGGTCCGTTTTGCACTGGGTGAGGCTGGTACAGCCCGCTGCACATCAGTGTGCTGACGGCAGTGCCCAGGCAGGACTGGGGAAGAGTCAGGACAGGCTTGCCATCTCACTGCTGTGATGTTCCTGGTCCTTCATGGTAGTATAGGGAGATGTTTTCTCATTCAAAATGACCCCCAGGAGCTCTGTCAAGAACCAAAACAAAAAAACCACTGCCATCTCAAGAGGCTGAGAGATGTGGGGTCCGGCGGTGCTTTTGTTGTCCATCCCTGCACAGGCCAGACAGGAGGGCCATTGTGGCCCTGGTGCCAGCCCGAACCCTGCTGATGCTGCCTCCCGTGGGCCCAGAATCTGAGGCACCTGGAAGGGTTATTAGCAGGATTGGAACTCATCCCTCTGCTGGGACTAGATCATAATTACAGTAATTTTCTAACAGAGCTCGGTAGTAGGACTGTTTAATCAGCATCTGACTCCCTTGTGCTCCCAGCCCTCATCACTCAAGGAGAGGAGTGGGATGGCTCTTAAAGAGACAGTGCCTGCCTTTCAGCAGTGTGAACAGATGTGCCCTAATTGGTAGAATATATCTAAGTCTCGTAGCTTACAGCGGGCAGGTTGCATTGCCTCCAACAAACAGCCTCGGGCTTTCGCCATTCTGCGCCTTCTTCCCAAGGGATTCAGGTCAGGCTGCTGGTGGTCCTGGCTTCCCACACCAACATGGCTACCAGGGTAAGGGACACACACCAGACTAGAGTGCTTATGGTAGGATCTAAACAAGCTGGCCCCTGCAAAACTGATGGTATGAACAAGTGCTAAAGGATGGGAAAAGGGACTTGATAGTCATGTCTAAGAAATTTTGACTGGTGGCTTACCAAAATCTAGAGATTATAGAAGCATCTCTGTGTTCTTCCCCTCCTAAAGAAAAAAAAAAAAAAAAATCTTCAAACCTTAAGGACTTCTGGGTAGTCTTCATTCTCCTCCTCTAGCATTACCATCTCTACTTACTCATCATACTCCTTTTCACTAGGTCTAAGGCTCCCCTTGTTTTTCTCCTCCACTTGGGGAAGCTGACCAGATCTCCTCTGAAAAGAAGGGAGTAAAACTATTCACACTCTGCTAGAGTCAGGAGCAGTCTGTCACCTAAAGAGTTTGGCTCTAGGTATCGTTTTGAGCATGAATTGTTCATGTTTATTTTAATCTTGAGATTTGCAGTCTCCAGCTTTTCAGTTCCAAATCCAGCCATGGCTAAGATGGAACTGTTTTCCCCAAAAAAGTTATTTCTCTAATGAGATACTAGGACAGGCTCCTCCTGCCCTGTTGGTTAGCCAAATGCACACTTGGTCATTGTATCAGTTCTTGAACAGTCTCAAGTTCAAGAGAAGAGATGAGGCAAGAAGTAAATGAGAGATAGGAAGCAGGCATAGGGCTTCCAAGTTGGCTTCAGGAAACCGTCAGGAAAGAGAGTGCAGTGTTAAGAATAGGGAGACATTCATCCACAGTGTAAAGAAAGGTTACCTTGAACCAGGCTCCGGTGCCTTTTACAGCATTGACCCCATGCTGGCAGAGGGCCACCAGGGACAGGGTGGCTTAGGATCAGTGCCTGGTGCTTGACTGAAGAAAGAGCTATTTTGCGTTGCAGTGGTTATCTGCTTGGCGTTAGCTGTGTCTCAGCTGGCTGCCCACACATAAATTGGCAGATGCTGCTCCAGCCCGATTCAGTGCTCCTGCGGCCTCTGTGAGGCAGGCTGGGGCTGATCTGTTTCCATTTCTACCACCAGCCCTACCTTGCCCACCGTCCTCCCCACCAGTAGGATGTTAAAAAGATTCAGCGAGGGCTGAGGCATACAAACAAGTTCAATTTTAAACATGGAACTGCCTTAATGCCTGATCAAAGTCATGATCACCCCAAGCAAAGCTATCAAGAGGGTAGAGGGTGCCTGGGATTTGCAGATCAAAGTCCTCAGCAGTCAGACAACTGAACAACTCTGAGAAGCTCTGCAGGGGACTATGGGTCCTTTACTTCCTTGAGTAGTGGTGAGCTCCATGCCGTGTGTGTATACACTTTCCAAGCTCTGTAAGTTTTATACACACACACACACATGTATAACTTACAGAGCTTGGAAAGAGTCTCTCATATGAATACAGGAATATACAGCATCTAAAAACATGCTTGTAGGAAACCAAACGGCATTCCGTTTCCTCAGCCAGCAAATGGGTATAATCCCTGCCCTGTCTCCACACTGGGGGCTCTCAAGATCAAATAAAAGGATGCATATGAAATTTATTACTTCTATATAAGACAACTCAATCCCCACCACCATCCACACACACATACGGCCTTCCCACCAAACCCAGCCCACTCATCCCAGGTAACTAGACTTGGGCCAGGGAAGTAGCTTGTCAGAAGGTGACTTAGATCAGTGACAGAATCTGCCTGAAACCAAAATTCAAAACAAACAAAACTCTCCTTCTAAGAAATACCTCAGTGGGTCATTCCCCACAGCTCCCCACCCTCCACGTGCAAGTCATCAGCCACGGAGGCCAGCCCAAGCGCACAGGGACAGAGCAAACCATGAGAAGGCATACGGCACTGCCTACACGGGGACACACATCTTTGCCATTTTCCTGGTGCCCCAGGCTTGCATTAGGAAAACTTCCCTTCTTGGGATATCCCCCTTCCATGGCCCACACTCAACTCCACTGAGGACCTCGAGGGATGGTGCCTGGCCTTAGATAACTGAGGTGCTGCTGTATGCATTGCTGCTAATGGATCATTAAAAAAGCCAAGAGTCAGAAAAATCGCGTCTGTGTCTTTGAATGGCTTCTGCTGTCCCAGCAGCCTACCCTGTTGGCAGAATGAGCTGCTGAGCACCAACTCCAGGAAGAAAAGGGGAGAACAGAAGAAGGCCAACCCAGCTTGCTGTTTTTTGGCTGAGTAGGGAATTGACACAGACCACCTCCGGCTCCTGTCTGGAAGTTTGGAGATCAGAGAGCTTCAGGCACAGCTGGGTTCACAGCTGCACCATTTGGAGCAATGGACTCATTAATATTCATGAACCATCCCCACCAATCGGCAGAGCGGATGCCATTAGCTTAGCATCTGTCGGGTTTTTGTGAGGGTTGTGTATGGAGTTTTTTTCCCCTTTTCAATGAACTTCTTTTGACATTTTGGATTTGCCTCTGTAGGTTTTCGATCCTCGCCTTGCTCTGCTGCATCGTGCAAAGGAAAGGCTCAGGGGAGGCAGGCCGGGAAGAGGGATGAGCACCAGCCAGGGCTTTGCATCTGCCTGTTGACAAACTTTATTTCTCTTTCAGCACCTGGCACCTCAGACAGGCTGCGAGGATGCAAGCAGCATCAGGTAAATTATACCTAACAAGGTTCATGCCCAAAACTGCGAGAAGAGCTGGATCCCGGCTCTTTGGAAGCCGATCCTTCCTGGTGGTGAACTTGAGCCACACACACAATGCAGGAGAGCTGCAGTGCGCAGCCCTGAACCATTATTTCCACGCTGATAAATTCATGATTTATGAACGTAATGACTGCCAGCCCTCACTCCCTCCTTCTCTGCTACAGCTTGTTAGACACAAATCGCAACAACAGTCTTAAATACTTGAATTTTATTTCAGGCCAAAGCCCCTCAACTCTGAACTAAATGCCATGACAGCCCTGCAGCACAGGCTGGTAGTAAAAGGACCCACGGACAGGGTGGGATGGCCAGAGGAGGGAGGAGCGGCAAGAGGAGAAGCGCAGACGCAGGACCCTCAGCGGGAGCGCCGTGCAGCGCCAGTGGCACCGTTCATCCAGCAGCGCGGGCTCCCACTAGAGAGGAGTTACGGCAGCAGGAGGGCAGAACGCCTCATTGTCTGCAAGAAGGCATGTTGTTCCTCATCTCCTTCCCCAGAGCCCACCCGTATAGGTGGAAACAAAGCCCTTGCGCCCCGTTGGACTAAACATACAGCCTCCCAGCAACGCAGCACAGGGACTGCAGTAGCTGAAACCTGGGAAGCAGAGAGTTGTTACTAAGGGAGAAGAAAGGATTCCAAAAGAAAAGAGCCCACTCTAACCCTGCAAAAAAGACAGCCATGTCTCTGCTTATAACCCGAAGTCACAATGCCAGTCCAGGATGGCTTTTTCCAAAACAAAGCTTCCTGGGCCCAGTGCAGCAGTCGCCTTTCCCCTCTGGCTGTGACCAACTACTTCACTTTCATGGCTGGCCGGCTGTGAGCTGTTAAGAGGACCCCAGGTCCAAGCCAGGATGAGGCCCTGGGACAGGCTGGAAATACCAGTTACAGGAGTCACAGAACTCGTGCCATTCAACAGTATTAGTACCAGAAAGCAAGGCAGTGGAAAGAGGAACCCTTCACCATCCTGTCCACACAGGGAGGTAGGGAAGAGGTCAGCCTCCCAGGAACAAAGAGTTCTAGGGGCTGCAGCAAGAACAGAACCCAGCTAAGATGGCAATTCAGCTACATACGCACTCCTGTTGGCACGATATTCAATGTGGCAGCTTAGCACCTGCCACTTGCAGGTCCCCCAAACCAGTCACCTGAGGCAATGCTCCTGAAGGAAAAAATACATCTGAAGAAACTCAGTTCCCGTGAGAGTAAATATGAGGTTCTGTTTAAAATCAACCGCCCCGGGGCCTTACACTTAACCTATAAACATCTGCGCAGCATTTATTCCTATGGAAGAATCACAAGGAGTTGTCAGGACAGATTTCTGTGCAACCAACCCTAGCAGAGATGACTGTAAGGGACTATGCAACCCAGCCCTCCCCAGAGAAGCTTGTGCCCGATCTCAGCCATGCAAGTCTCCTTGCCAACATCTTCTCCATCCTCCGTGGAGCAGAACTCAGAGCTTGGACCAGAGCTCACTTTTCCAAGACTATTTCTAACTGACCAGGGTCCAAAGGCACAACGTGAGACAAGGGGGCTGACTGGTCCCCTCCCACGACCCTCCTCACAGGCTGAGCAGGAGAGGTTCCTTCAGCAGGCCTTGCAAAATCACAGTGTGATGGGGAAGAGAGGGCTGGGAGAGTGAGACTCTCCAAAGAAGGAGCTTCAGAGTCAACAACAGGAGCCCACACTTCTAAACGGTCCTTTTCTTCACTGGGAGGTGGTGATGGAGAGTTCCTCCTACCAGATCGTGGAAGAAAGCAGCAACTGGAAAAGAGTGGGAAGGGGAAAGAAAGGGTATGAATGGATGAACAAAAATGAATGGCTAAACCTAAGGTGGTGTATCCACACAATGGAATGTTATTCAGTCCTAAACAGGAGTGAAGTATAGACAGACACATTCCACAACGTGAATGAATCGTGAAAACACTGCGCTAAGTGAAAGAAGCCAGTCACAAAAGACCACACTCATCATATGATTTCATTTATATGAAATGTCCAGAGTAGGCAAATCCAGAGACAGAAAGTAGATCAGTGGCTGCCAGCGGCTAGGGGGTTGAGGGCAATGGGGAGCCAACGCTAATGGGAATGGGGTTTCTTTGGAGTGATAAAAATGTTCTAAAATGGACTGTCATGAGTGACAGTTGCACAACTCTGAAGGTATGAAAAGCGACTGTGTTGTATACTTTAAAAGGATGACTTTTATGATATGTGAATTCTTTAAAAAAAAAAAAAAAAGAAGAAGAAAAGGAATAAAGAAAGCCTTCCCCTTTCTTCTGCCCAGGTTTCAAGAGGATCCCTGCTACAGAGGTGGGTTAACACAGACCCACTCAGGATGAGAGAATTGTGCACATGGAGAATGAGGCTGTTTCTGAAAGCCACCAGCTCTGGGACATTCCTTTCCCTATTGAATGGACACCTCAGTGGCCCAGGTTACAGTGACCCTAGCCCTTGGGCTCCGTTACCTCTTAGGCTGGTCTCCTTTAGCCAGGTGAGATGAGCCCGGCATCTCTTCCTGGGCCCAGCCACAGTTTGACATAGCGTAGTGAAGGATGGCATCAGAAACAGTCATGGGGCCTCGGCCCTGCACACAGGCTTCTATCTCAGGCACTGAGAGCTGGCTTTGCAGGAAGAGGTGCAACTGGCTGTCTGACAGGAGGACCACACTCTGCAGGACCCTGGGCAAAAACAGGTCACACAACAGACACAGTATCACCCTGAGGAGTTGAGAGGCTCAACTGTTTGAGTGAACACTGATGGTGTGAGGGTACAAGAACGGCATCTACTGCAAACAGGCCTACATGTCTGAAGGGGCCGATGCTGCCTGCCACCCTCCTCTGCTTTCAGCCCAGGCAGCCAAGGCTGGCCCATCACGTCCACTCACTTTTCCAGGAAGTTCTGTAGACCTTGTCGTCGCTTCTCAATGAACTCATCCGAGCTGCCAAAGAAGGTTGACTTCCCAGGAAGCTCAGGTACAGGCCTGTGAGGTCACATAATGGATTATCAAGATAAGGATAACATCCAACATGGTCATTCCAGCCCCTGAACCAGGAACTCCCCTAAAAAGAGGCCCAAATCAATGAAATTGCTTTTAATAAGGTAGGACTGGTAACGTACGGATTGTCTGCCATGTATGAGGCAGTGTGCTGCATGTTTATAAATATTATTTCATTTAATCCTTCCAGCAACCCTGTGAGAAAGACAGTAGGAGTAATGGAATAGGATCAGAGAGGTTAAGAAAATGTCCCAGTGTCACACAGCTAGTAAGCAACAGAGCTGGTATCTGAACTAAGTCTGTTTTGATTCCAAAGCCTATGATGCTTCACTACATTGTTTACAAAACCCACTCCTACCATCAATTATTATTTTAAAAAGAAACCTATACATGGAGACATGGAAAATGCTAGATCCTTCTGTGTAAATTAAAACTACGTACTTCACTCCCAGAAGGCCACAGCTGGGAATTTTCTAAAAATAATTGAGTTGCAGCAAGTCATCCACAAACTCTTTAACCCTCCCTTACCTGCCCCATGAAGTGCAGCATATATTTTTACAATACAGCAAGCCAGGCTAAAGGGTACAGGGTCTGCCAGAGGAACTCAGGGAGTTCAGCTGGCTTATGAGAGCCTGACCCTAACGATGGCCTCATCAATCCTACACACTAACTAACTGGCTAGGTCACTCAGCAGGCCATCGCCTGTCACCAGACCACTCAGTGACCATCCTGAGGAGATCACTGTTCTAATTCTCTCTACTTTTAGGACTTATTTGGGGGGTGGGGGTAAGGTTCTCAGTCTGGTGCATATCTGAAGAAGGGTCTCTACACCAAATTTTTAAAAAAGAAAGAAAATCACAAGTTTTACATTTCAAATGGACAAGAACACCACCTGTCAAATTAAGTCCTGGTGCTTAAACGTGTCTAGTAACCAGTAATAAGCACGTTTAAAATGCCAGCAGTATGTTTGTTTAGCCCTAGACTAACACACATTTGAAAAAAAGAAGGGAAATTATTTTTGACATTTGTCTGGTTTTAGTAGTCAAAATACTAGACATGAGAACTTGTCTGTACCTCTTCCACTGACCTGGAAATATAACTGAAGAACACATTTTTAAATTTCCTTAGTGCCTGACATGTTGCTCATTTTCTTCATTGTAAACTCTACTTCCTGAACATGTAAAAGCCTAGGATCTAAGAAGGAAGTAAGAGGCAAACTCACACTAAACCGGCGTTTCTCTGTAGCTGCTTTCTCAACCACACAAACTCTCGGTAGCGGCGCCGCACACAGGACGTCTTCGCAGTAAAGGCTTTGCTGTTGGTCTTTAGGAGGAAGTACAAGCAAAGGTTTAGTGGGAAAGGACCAACCTTACATGCACTCCTCATCAGCACTCTCCCTAAGGATCCAAGCAGTCAGTCCTGTGCCCCATAATCAGGGGTTCAAACTAGAGCAGGTGCTACCACCAGGTAGCCCCAACAGCAACTCTCAGGCATCCCCAAGCTCTCTCTCCTCTCCTCCCTCCTTTTCTTTCAAGCTGTCTCTCTCCAGCCTGCCAGACACACCCACAGACACGTTCTGCCTTGGCACTAGCCCTCAGCCCTGGAGGGTGTTGACCCCAATACAGAAGCTTGATGCACTTACATGGAGGAATATCTTATAATCCACATAAGAATTCCAAGAGCCCTCATTCTGCACACGGGGGTCCTGAACACGCACAGTGATCACCTCCTGTAGTTAAGAAATGCTACCTCACCTTCGGCTCAGTCACATAGTAAGGTAACTTTGACAACACAGGTTACCAGATCTTTCCTTTCGAACCAGCTTAAATAAGCACCAACTTACTTACTGACTTTCACTCAATTCAACAAATATTTATTAAGCACCTACTATGTGTCAGGCAGTTTTAGACAGTGGGAACAGAGCATGAACAAGAAGCAAAAATCTGTCCCCTCATGAAATTTACATTCTAGAACATTCTCAAACCATACCAAACTCACTGCCATGGAGTCAATTCCAACTCATAGCGACCCCCTTTGGGTTTCTGAGATGGTAACTCTTTATGGAAGTAGATTGTAGTCTTTCGTCCACAGAGTGGGCGATGGGTTTGAACTGCCAAACTTCTGGTTAACAGTCACATGCCTTAGGCACTGTGCCACCAGAGCTCCTTTCTAGAACATTCTACCCAATGGAAAAGTTAGTCAAAATGGAACCTCATTTCCCAGCAATGCCTCTGCTACTAATTTCTACCAGCTTTAGTTTGAACTCATTAGAACCACCAATGTATTCATGTGGAAAGAGCACTACTGAACAATGGCTTACACTTCTGTGCCCTCCCTTTTCCCAAATCCCCTCTCCAGCCTTTACCCACCTGGTCCCTGGAGATCACACTCTTACCTCCTGCTCTTCGTTCTCCAGCATCCTACACCAAAAGCCCATTGGAAGAAAACATCTGATGAGGGACAAAGCACACAGAAAACAATCATGACTGGTTTGCCTCTATTTTGATAACTCTTTACCAGGGCGAAACCCCGAAAGTTTTTAACAGATGCCCTGGGGAAACCCAGGCCACTCTTCTTGTTCTTGTGTAAAACTTAAGAGGAAGCAAAAAAAAAAAAAATTCCCCACATTAGCTCAGTGCTAAGCTAAAAGCCCTGGGGAATTCACCTCCTTTCTCACATCCAGGACTCTCGACTAGGCCATCTTTACCCAAAACATGTTGGGGTCTGCACAGAGTATTCGTCCCAGCAACCTGAATAGGCAGGTTCATTTGTAAAACCTTTCTGCCTCGCAGGCTGCGGGCATGGTGGTGTCTGGTGGACGCAGCTTTGAAATTGAGCCTAATACCGCCCCCTCCCGGCTGTTTACAAAGAGCCAGATCCCCACAAACACCATTCACTGTGCCTGGTCTCTCTTTGTCTTGCTAACCACGGTCACCTCCCCACAGGTGAATTATAGTGCTGGGCACTCCCGGAAGCACCCAGTGGGCTACCCGGTTTTGACCTTCCCTTGTCTAATCTACTCTCTGGAACCCGAGCCAATAGTTCTAATCATTTCCTCTCTCAACATGCCATCCAGTTTGTACCTCTGTTCAAGTGCCCCACAGCTGCACAGGTCGACTCAGGACGCTTTCCGCTCCTTTGTAAAGATTCATTAAAGCCTAAGCCCCTGATTTCCCCCAATGTGGTAGTTTACATGTGCAGTGACATCGCCCACTCCAACAAGGGGACCATGAAGGCTGCAGCACAGGGTTACTCAAGTCCAAGGGGGCCCATGATGTCACCTTCTGTTAAAATACAGCACTAATCTTGTTACTCCTAGAACCGCTCCAACTGCATTCACCCAGGCTGCTGCCTCCACCCCCTTCTCCTCTCTTAAGAGCGGAACAATAAGGTTTAATTTCCCTTTCCAATTTACCTTGAAATGAAAACTGACTTCAGCCAATATGTACTGCCAACAAATGATCCAGCCTGGCTCCTGGGAAAACAAGACTATCTCTAAGCTCCCCCACTCCTTCCCCCCATCCCATTCTCACACCCACTCATTTTTACAGTCCCCCAATTAATTTTAAACACATTCTCTTATTAGTTCTGCTTTACCATTAGAAGAGTGTGTAATGAGTTTCCCTCTATTTTATGTTTTGCTAACACAAGGCTAACGTTTCAAGAGAAGGGGAACTCATTTAAACCACAAAATCAGCAGAGCACACAGCTTTTTCAATTCTTTCCAATATACCAGAAGGTCTCTCCACAGACATCGCATGAAGAGATACAGCAGCATGGCGATACGAAAAAATCGGACTACACTGTCATGCAAACCCAAGGTTTTGTGATTTCAGTACCATCTCAGTCTTCCTGTCGACAATTCAATTTTTAATTGATGCAGCGATCACCTCAGAGGGGTCCTGAACTAAAAGGTAGGAAATTCTAATTCCATAACAACCAATGCATAACATCCCAGACATAGATGGTCAAATGGTCCTGACTAAAAAGCACAGGCTGACTTGCTGTGAACAATTAACCTCTTTGGATTTTTTTTTTTTTTTTTTTCTCCCACTTCTCTTTTCAGGCATTTGGTCAGTTGCCAACTCAGGAGCAGAGAGTTGAATATTCTAAAGTATCTTTTCTCAGAAGTAATCAATAAGGAAGATGATGACAGCAAATCATAGCCATCCACACAGTCAGGGAAGCTCACACATATCCTGTGCATTCAAAGGAATACCAAATTCCAGACCATAATCTAGTAACTAAATGGTCATCATCACCTCATTCTCTTGGGCTCAAGAAGAGTTTGCCTGGGGCCCTGCACCATGGGCACTTTCTGCTGAAGTTCTTGTCTTTTCTTTGGGGGCTATTTTACTACTTAGAAACAAATAGCTGTAAATTGGCTTTTAAAAATCCTAGGGCCCCCAAGATGCTTTATACTTAAATCTAGTTTTAGAGGGCAGTAAGAAAATTTCCATTGTAACTTTCCTTAATAACATTAGAACAAAACAGAAACCTAGTTTAATAATGTCTAATAATTTCCAGCAACTACTCTTCTCCATCAATTTCCTCCCCATAGACACCACCTCTCAGGAGAAAATTAAGCTCAGTCTGGCCCTTGGAAGGGAAGCAGGAAGTTCTTAACTTTCGCTTTTATGATCTGGGAGATGGATCTGTGTGTCATCCAAATAAGGAAAGGGTCAGAGGCCTGTTCAGCTACTAGCCACCTCACTCATTGCTAACTACATTTCCTGGGCCCTTTCAATTGCAGATGAATTTCCTGTAGTTTCTCCACCTAGACAAGCACCAGTATCTCCAGCTGGGGAGAACGCAGTTGTCTGCGCTTTACAAAGTAGGTTAGGTGTAAAGCCTCCCAATTTTCGTAGCAATTCACGACTGCAAACCCCATCATTTTCTCTCCCATTTAAACTACTTCAAGATACGTGTTAAAAACAAAGCGAGAGGGTAAAAGAGATCGAACTCCCGAGCCTCCCATCCCTTCTTACTCATTCTTGAGCCCTTAGTGCCATGCAGCAAAATGGCAACTCAAAACACTCTCCTTCCTAAATATGCACAGGTGCTACGGGAAGCTCCCTGGTCGGATCAAGCTCGTGAACTCGAAAAGCAGCTCCCTTCGTCCACCAGTAAACTGGGATGGAAACGATACCTGGTCTTCCTTCCACTTCAAAGGTAAGTCACAAAGGCTGCCACAGTGTAGCGCAGGAGTCTCCTGTGTCCCGGAAAATATTTGCCATTACTCCCAAGACCTAACCGTTTGGGTAAATGTCCCCAAACCCTTTTATATCAGCTACTTCCTCTCCATTCTTAACGAACTAGGAGCAAAAAGGCCACTTGTTTCTTGGCCTCCGTTTCTACTAAGCTTGGAGAGAGGGAAGGAAAGAGACCTTATACTTTAAATTGAAAACCTGGGTTTCCGTCCTTGGATTCCGAACAAGCTCCGGCCTTCAACTCAGAAACGAGACAACACCTTTCCCAGGATGTCAAGCGAGGCTCTCACCCCAAACGCCCCAACTGACGTTCAAGCCCGCGTCCCCTCACCTGAGTCCAGTCCCCACTCCCCAAAGCGACACATCCAGCAGCCTACCATATAGCCAGGGTCGTGGCTTCTCCTTCCGGGTGAGTTGCCGGTGTCCGGGTGCACGACGGGAGATGGCTCCCGACGCGCCAATCCTGGGTGCTTGGGACGCCCCGCCCCTACAGGCCCAGGCTCTCAGTGGCGGTTCTCGCTCCCGGGGTGGCGTGGCTCCGCCCCATCCAGGCACCCGACAGGAGTCGGACTCCCCTCGTCTCACTTTAAGAGGTGAAGGTTGAATGCGGTGCCGGATGAGGGCTGGAGAATGGGCTCCGCGTTCAATCCAGGGCCGCATCCCGCCCATCATTATCAGGTCCAGCCAATCAGCGGCCAGGTCTGAAAGTTGGTCCATGGAGTAGAGAGGTGTGGGGAGGTTGTGATTGTTGTTTCCATTCGGCTATGCGTAGTCTTGAGCGTGGGAATTTTGTGGTAGAAAACGCCCACTTTCCTGGAGCTTCACTTCGTCTCTAGAGAGTTCTTACTTAACACCGTTGGTTGCAGTTCCCCAGCAGAGGTGCCAAGGGGGAGTCCAACGTAGATTCGTAAAACCACAGACTCAGAACGAAAAGTAGATCTCAGAGGGCCCAACAGTTCGCACATTTCACCAGCGGAAACAAGCCCAAGGAAGGATCAATGCTGCTAGTTAGTAAGAAAGAAAAATCCGTTGAATATGATGAAGACTTTTAGATGTTAAAATGCCTTTTAACAACCTATTTAAACTTTAAAACCCACAACCATTGAGTAGCTTCCTACTCATAGCGACCCCCAGAGGGTTTCCAAGGCTGTAAATCTTTACAGAAAGAGAATCCGTCATCTTTCTCCCGCGGAACAGCTGTGGGTTCCAACCGCTGACCTTTTGGTTCGCAGCCGAATGCCTTAGTCACTTCGCCACCAGAGCGCCTTAATTAATCTTTAGCAAAGATAGTATCAAGGGGAAAGTCATGGTCGTAAGTCATAGGCGCTGGAGTGGGACTACCTGGTACAGCACCCAGCATTATACTAAGCGCGCGATCTTGAACTGGTTCTAAATGTTTCCTGATTTATAAAGTGGAAATGATTGTACATACTTCAAAGCAAGGTTTCTCAAACTTTCTGTTCCCAGGATCTCTTCACACACTTAAAAATAATTAAGGCTATAACTTAACTGGAAATTAAAATTAAATTTAAAAACACTAATTTAATAAAATAAAGTATTACATGTTCACATATTTTATAAGCCATATATTAAAAAAAAAAAAAAAAAAGCCAAACCCACTGCCATCGAGTGGATTCCAACTCATAGTGACCCCCATTGGGTTTTCAAGGAAGTAAATCTTTATGGAAGTAGATTGCCTCCATGTTCTTCATCAGAGCAGCTGGTGGGCTTGAACCACCAACCTTCTAGTTAGCAGTCAAATGCCTTGGATACTGCACCACCAGAGCTCTTTCTCATAAGATATAACTATATGTATATCCCAAAACAAAACAAAACAAACAAATCATGAATAGACTGACATTGTATTACAATTTTGCAAATCTATTTAATGCTGACTTCATAGAAGACAGCTGGATTCACATATGTGCTTCCTGGTTTACTCTGCTGTGCTGTGTTGTTCTGAAGTATATGAAGAAAATCCTGCCTTACACAGATAGAGAGATGGAAAAGGGAGGAGAATTTTTAGCCTTCTCTGGTAAGTGTGAATATTATATGATACTATACTAAAACTCAACAAATGGTAAGTTGTTTGTTTTTTTTTTAATCTGAAACCATTTATAAAATATTGGTTCACTGAATTATGCAGATCTTCCCAAAATAATTTCATTTCATTATTCAGTATAATAAATCACTTTTTAAAAATCATCATTGATATCATCAGGAAAGT